CCTCAGCCTACCTGACACCGCAATCTTCTCTCACTCCTCTCACTTCAAAACACATAAATAGCGACTGGCTAGGAGTCTGGGACTGTGGCGTTTAAAAGCAGTCGAGAGTTAGACAGTTATTGATAAACTCTGATGCTTCCAGTTCCCGGTCAGCCTCTTTTTTTGTTTCTACTTAGTGATGAACTGCGTGACGAGCGGTATGACTCCGAAATGACTACGCTTCAAAATGCCACCTGTTTCGTGATCCGACCCCTAAATTCCGGGCTGTGAGCACTCAAGAAAAAAGAAAGAAAGAAGAAGGTTGAGACCCTTTTTGATATATCAAAGCGCCTTTCATACTTTTATTTATGAACTATGAATATTTTTGTTGATTTCAGGGAACTTCCTTGATTTTGCTTTCAGACAATGGTGTTGGACAAAGACGGACGTCTGTCAGGTAGAAATGTAAAATTCTCTTGTTTGTTCAGAAAGATACGGAACAGCAAGCTCTAATAATGCTGGTGAGATTCCATGCTGGGGTATTTGGGTTGTTTTTTCCTATTACTTTTGGGCTCAAAAATACGATTTTTTAAGACTAATTGCAGACTCTGAAAGAAAATTGATCCCGTAACATGAACGAAATTCGCGTCCTTTGAATACAAATGAAATTGAAAAGCTTGTCATGTATGCTTTGTTGCATAATTATCAGGAGCAATTCTTCACTCGGTTAAAAAGAGTCAACTAACATTTTTAAAAATTGTACGTCTTCTTCTTCAATTTGAATCGAGTTTCACGGTTTCACTGTTCTAATTACGTGAGAACGCCATGCATCTGACGCGAGAGTACATTCGAGCCCTTTTCCTAGCTAAAACATCATTAAGCATAAACTAGGATTAAAATAGATCAAATTTACTAATTAATTGAGGTCTTCTTGTCTAAGAACATTATTAAGCTTTTACTTGGAGATGAAGTTATGGTAATACAAAGGAAGTAAAATACAAGAATGAGGCTTTCTTAGAGGTAGGGAGAGTACGTATGTCCCTGCGATGTCGCTATCGGTATTTTTACTATAATTGTATTTGAGTTTTGTGAAGATGCGCAAAGAAAACAAAAGGGAGTTGTTTGTCTTTATGGGTAATCAGTGGTCACTTAACTATCCCGCTTTCGGGAATGGCGTCGAAAGATCAACGCCATAAGTAATGATTATTAAAAAAAACATTTCAATACCTGGTTCATTAATAACGTATTCAGTGTAATTTCAAGTTTCCCCCTAAGCCCCTGAAATTGCATCACAAAGTCAAAATTCTAATTTAATTCTCAACAATGCAAGAAAGAGACTTGTCGCGTTTCAACGTAAATAAAGTTTGTCGATTCATCTTTTTATTCCCGTCGCAGAACAATTTCGGGGTCTCAACATTCAATCGATTATAACTAGTTTTCCCTAGTTTTTACAGGAGTTCACCTTCTCTGAGTTTCAAGCACTTTGTCGCCAGCGAAGCTGGCCTAGACTGTACAGCAATTAAAGTGCGTCTTTGACTTTATATGTCTATTATTCTCTAATAAGGTACAATAAGACCATTTGTATGGGAAAAAAGAGAAACTTTTTACATAAGCAAACTTAAGAGGTCCAGGACAGTTTTACGTTCGAATTTGCTCTAAACGGTCCAGCGAAAAAGATTCATAACAAAAACAACTTCTCTTTATGCCGGAAAGGAAACAAATGTATAATATATATAATATATATAGTACATTAAGTAAAATGAAATAACTTAATGTTAACTAGAAACTAAGTAAACTTCCATTTATGGTAATTTAATTTGTTATAAATGAAGGAATTAAACTTACAGAAATTGTCTTCTTTTTCTAACGTTTTCTTCTTGCAGAGTTTCAGTTCGAAAGTAAAAAAATTCTAGCGATTTCTTGACTTGTTTCACAAAGCCGAACTAACATCATTTTAAGCTCTAGTTTAAGCTCGCAATTGATTTAAGCGCTCGTTAATAATATAGCTGGTACCCTGTGTGCTTTTACGTAAATGGCTTACGCAACGAAATTCACTCAATATAGTTAACGAGACACAGCGACAAATGTTGGAATTAGCTTCAGTTATCTCAGCGTGTGTTTTTGGTTCCTAGTTTTTGTGTAGTTTGGGCTTATAATTAACTCGTGCCTCGCTGTTTGGCTTGGCGTGGAGTGTCGTGTCTCCCTCGCGAAAGCGAAGCCAGCCGGAGGCCGGTGAATCTCGACTCTCCTGCTGTAGACAAACGCCAGTTTAAAATTACTGAGATCCAGCTGTTTCTAAAAATAGAATTTAAAAAAATTGGCACCTGTGATTTCACAATTCAAAAACAAGCCCAATTGCCGGACCCTCATGGGAAGGAGTTTTCCTCAATCGTCGTTAGAAAAGTAGAAGTTTTGGTTTACAATGACTGTTCCTCAGCTACCGCTTACCTCGGATCTCACAGAAAATAGAAAACAAACAAAGACATTGAGTTTTAGTAAAGTTTCCATTTTGCTGTAGAAAGTGATGTATAAATTGTGACTATAAAAGGGCTTAAAATAGCGTCTAAAGTATTAGGACCATTGATTTTTATTTCATACTTTAAGGCGAATTTTTCGACTTATAAAAACGATAGAAGACTAAAAATCAATTTACTATCTTCAAGTTTGTTATGTCGTAAGGAAAGCGTAACAAAAAGCACTGGAGTCAACTTATTATATTTAAATTGGATCATGGTTCATCTGTGTCGTTCAGTTATTTTGTTCAGATTTAAAACTCAGCCTAACGCAGCTAGGGTCGTCACGATATAGAGTGTAAAATATACCATACACGTTTATGACTTTTACGGTTATTAGCAAACCCCAAAACCACTGATCGCACGGTTATTCTTCTTTTTCCCGTGTACGAAGATGATTAATCCTTT